GAGGAGACTGAGGCCATGAAGCTTGGTGGGACAAGAGGGAGCAGGTGTCCTTGGCTGGTTTGTATGTGGCTGTGCACTGGCTGACTGATAGAGCATGGGCTGCACTTTTATAGCCTCTTGCTCACTGGGACACTATGCTGAGTTTCTGTTCCCCTCATGGCTGTTCATTTTCATGGACATGCTGTCCGGTTGGTTCTGATGTGGTTTGGGGAGGCTGAGAGGAGAGACAGAGCAATCACAATCCCTTATCTCATTAAAAGCAAGACTGAAAAATTATACCCCGGACTACCCAAAAAAATTACCTAGTTAGGATGAGATGAAGTTTGTGTGCTTTTACGCATTTTAGATACAATTTTTTTTTTTAAGAGGGAAGGTTACTTTTCTGCTCTGATCCTAAGCTCCCTGTACCACTTTAGGTTTCTCTTTCAGAGCTTAATTTAGATATTGTGCATGCAGTGCTGTTCTGTTGGAGGAACTCCTGTCCTCAGTGCAAATTGTAATTTGATCAAAAAGCTTTGCTGTCCTATAATAATGACCAAGTTAAAGTGTCATGCTTTATTCTCTTCCAAGGTACTGTAATGAAAACATTTATTTCTAATAGCTTTTTGCTCTTTTTGAATTTTAAAGCTTTGGCAAAAGCCTATTTACTTCCTATTGTCAATATACTGAAACTATCTTCATGCAGAGCATTCTAGGTTCCAAATCCCATGGTACCTATTACAATCAAATTTTTAGGGGTGTTTTAGATTTATAGAAGAGTTACTTTTTTTTCTGTTTTCTTTAGGATGCAAATTTATTTTGAATTTTTATAGAAGCTTTATTGTATTTTTATGTCACAAACATAAAGATTGTCCCAAAGAATGAATCATAAAGATATGTGGTAATAAAGAACACAAGTGCAGATTTTTAGGATGTTTGCTTCTCATGCAGTGAGAACAACATGCTTGCTGGGATAAGGAAAGAGCAAAATGCCTTTTGTTTGGGAATTCCCGTGCTTCCTAATTCTCGGAACAACTCTGTGGGTAAACTCACTTTTGCTTCCAGTTTCTAGGTTTCTGTACTGATATTAGTATTAGTTAAGCACCAGCAAATTGTTCTGACCTTCACCTTGAAGGACCAGCTGGGGTTCAGCCTCAGTTGCTTGAATATCATTTGTATTGAACAAGAGTAGTGTCCAGACTGGAGCAAGCAGTGTCACAGTGTCACCAGTTTGATGGCCACAGCAATGCCTGTTCAAGTGTGAATATTAGCATGTGCTGGCTGCAGAAGAGGTGGGTGAAAGACAAACAACAGTGGGCAGAACCAACCTGGGTGACTGTGCCTCTTTTATGTGCTTATCAGTACTGAAAAGTGATTGTCCAAGGCTTAACTGTTTTTAAAGACATCTCAAAGTCATATACTTTGGTTGTGATTATCTTTTCCCACAGATAAGAAACTGGAGTGTAAGAACTAGCTGGTGATTAATAAGGCATTAAGATTTAGCTTGCTGAACTAGAACCAGAGTCTCTGGCTGGATGGCACCTTGCCATGCCTTTAGGAATCAGAGACCCCCACCAGAACTGGCTTATCTTGGTTGCCCTAGCTGGCTAGGCTCCTCTCCCTGCTCTCTGGAAGTATGTTAACTTCACTGCCATAAGTGCAGAGTACCTTGCTGAGGTGTGACTTCAAAATTGCTTCTTGTTGGCAGTTTGAAACATGATTATGGGGAAATAATCCCAGTCCTGCTGTTAAAGGTTCCTGAAAAGGAAGAGAAGCCATTGCTGCTGACACTCTGTAGTGGCATGGAAATCATAACAGAATACTGTTTCCAAAGAGGTGGCGGCTGAAATGTTTGTATTTTCTGTGCTTGTGTTCACCACTGATCCCACATGCAGGTGTAAGAGCATGTAACTAATGCATGAGGGCAAAGCTCTGTGCAGACAGACAGACCTCACTTTTCCCCATCCCCTTCTTAAATGCAGCTTGTTCATTGTAATAAGGTTGTGGTGGTCTTGCAGGCTCAATGCTCTGTTGTGTTTTATGATAATACTTCGTGAATGGCTTCCTAGTTGTGCTGCACAAGAAACTGCTGGCATTCAGAGTATTGTGGAAGAGAATTCCTCACCAATCCAGCTGCTCTATTGCTGAGCTTGTTCAGCTTTTCTGGTCTGACATACTTCTTCATAAAATAAATACAAAACCCAAGGCAGACAAATCTGTTAAGCATGTCACATAGTATGTTTTATTTGTCAGTGTGCTTTCTGCTTGTTTTCTGTGACAAGATATCCAAGATGTCAGTTCCAAAAGTGGAGTCCTGTGGCACCCTGTGCACTTTATTCTGGTGTGAATTCTCTCTTGACAGCTGACAGTCCAGCCTGGAGCAGTTTCGGATCTCTGTGAAACTCTCACCTGCTGCTCGTTTGGCATTCAGTGCTGTCTTTGTTAAGTCTTGAATATTCTCCTGTCACCCCTGCCTGCCTCCTTGTGACTAATTATTCCGTTTCCTTGAAGAAATAATGCTTTTGGAAGACTTCACATCTCCAATCATCTTTTGTTTCTTTTTGTTCAGAAGAAACCTAATGGGGAAGCAGACATTCAGTAGTTGTGGACTGTAACTTGCAAGTTTGGGAACTTTACTCTCTTGACTTGACAATTGTCTTGTCAGCATCTCTTTTAGTGCCTCTTTTTCTATATTTCTTTTGTGGGTTAGAAACAGGTCATACCCTGTTTTTTCTGTAATTTTAGGGAAAGTAATGTTCCCTGTGTTGGTCTTACAAATTAACATGCTTGAAGTTAGCTTTTGACTTCAAGGATTGCCAGAACAATGGAGGTCTTAAATATTATTAAAAAAAAATATGCAGCTGCAGAGGTACTAGAGAAAGAGGTATTAGTATCTATAAATCAAGGAACTGAAACATTTACAGATTCCTAAACTGCAAGTGCCACATGAGGCTTTTCCAGTCGCACATAGAAAGCAAGAGCCTAGGTAGCTACGTTTCAGCAGTCTGAGTACTTAAAGAGTTGCACTTTTTTTCTTCTCTTGCTAATCTTGTCTCTTACAACCACAGAAAAGTGTCAGGTCCTAAGCTCATGACTGCATTTCCCCATGTCCAGCCGCTGATGTACAGCAGCAGCACTCACGCCTTGGGCAGCCTTTAAATCTAGACTACTTTTGTAAGCTGCTTTCCTTTCTCATTCATGGCACTTCTGTGAACCTCCGTGTCTGAATCATGTTCTCAACATCAATCTCATTTCTTTTGTGCTGGTTACAATCTTGATTTGCCTCTTCAGTGTCATTATCACCTGCTGAGTTTTTAGGCTTGGTGGTGAAACTAGCTAAGGTCTGAAATAATCTGAATTTCCTCATTAATGAGAAGTGTGAGTCACTTTCAGTTCAGCACAGACTTTTCAGTTCTTTCACATATTGTTCTGTCAAGACATACGTCTCTGCAGTCTTTGAAGTGCAGACAAGGAATAGACTAACACTAATTCAAATGTTGGATCAGAATCTATAGTAGCTTTGCAGTTCATATAATGTGTTGGGTTTTCTTTTTCTCTCTTTTTTTTTTTTCTTTGGTGTGTTTGTGTTGTTTTGTTGGTTTAGAATAAGACACAATCACTGGATCTGTGTGCTGAGTTACAAGGATCGGTTACTTGGGCTCTCTCTGAGTTTGGTGGAGATCAGAGAGGCTTTCTTCTGGGCAAGGGGGTAATGAAGTGAGAATTCATCCCTCAACACCTCTACCCTTGCTCAGCTGGTGTTGTAAAAATATGAAATGGTCTCAGCATTGAGTCAATGATTTTGTCTTTTGCTTCTGTAAATAATGGCATCTGAAATCAAAGAAAAAATTCTGTATCCGTTTAGTTTGCATGGAAAATTCTGTACCAAAATTACAGATGCAGAAATTACCTACAAGTAAATATGTTTCATTACAAGTGTGTGGTTTTGGGTTTAGCAAGGGAAGGTGAGATACCACAAAAACGGTGTACGAGAGGGTTTGTGTATTTGGAATGGGAGGCATTTGACTCCTTTTGTGGTGCTTGCGGACATACTTTGAGAAGTGAACTGAGCCTCATTTCTTCATTCTGCTTCCTCCAACTGTGCTTTCTCCTGGATATGCAGAGCCTTTCTAAGAGCATTTGTTTGTGTGACTACAAGATTAGCTAGGAAATTATTGAAAACACATTTTAAAACGTAACCTGGGATATTATTCTTCTTGCTCTGCTGATGCTTTGCATGCTGACCTAGAAGATGGATTGTCCAAGATAATAGGTACTGTAATTTACTCTTCAGATGGATTAATTATTTTCTCAGCTACCTGCCAGTTGTGCTTAGCCCTGGTAAACTGATCAAATGGCCACGTTACATAGGCCCTTCTCTGCTGTCAGTTAGACTTTGCTCAGCTGCTCTCTTCAGGTGAAGGTGTGCCATGAAAAGGTTGGAAAGTATCTAATATGTACAACCCTTTCGTGGTGTTGTAAAGCAGACTTAAAGCAGCATGTCTTACACTATGCTATTGCAAAGGAATAGACAGGAAAAGTGGGCAGGGGAGCTGGGCAGGCTGTGGTACCCTGTGTAGGACACTGGTGGTTGTGTGCTTTTGCAGTAGCATTAGAGCAGGATCATGTGCAGTACTGTACCAGAACACCTTTCTCATCACACCTCTTGCTGCCTCTAATGGTTGGACTTCAACATTAAGCAATACTTTCCAGAGAGAGAGAAAGCTATGAAAGAATCCCTTAATTATTCCTAGACTCATGGCCATAATTAACATTTCATTTTCACGAGCAGGTTTTAATTCTTTGCTTTCTAGGGTCTTTGTATAGGTAGACTATTTTACAGATTTGCTATGCTAAATATACTCAGGCAGTAATGCAAGTATTACGTTCACGTGATGTGGGGACTCAGATCTGTTATTGTTGCGTTCTGATTTTATGCAATTTCTCAAATGCTCTGTTTGTTTTATTTAAATGGCAAAAGAGGTTCTCATTTCTCAGTTTTTCTCACTTTTGATTCACAGAAACTATCTTAGAGCATGGACACCAGTAAGAAGTCAGAACCCCCTTTATCTGTAGAAATGGTACAGCAGAGGGCCAATCCTGACCGCAGTCCATCAGCATCCATCTATGTTCCAGAGCAAGGTGGCTACAAAGAGAAATTTGTGAATGCCGTGGAAGATAAGTACAAATGTGAAAAATGTCACCTCATCTTATGCAATCCTAAACAGACTGAATGTGGACACAGGTTCTGTGAAACCTGCATGAATGCCTTGCTGAGGTATGTTGTTTGTTCTGGTAGAGCATGTTGATAACTTTAAATGTTGTGAACTACTGCCATTACTGTGAATACCATTGTAGCTTTAGGAATATATTGAGCCTTCCACTGTTGCTTGCTTGAGTATTTGTTATCATCTGTGTGCTGGTGCAAACATTTTTGCTCTACTCTGGGTCAGGGTTAGACAACTGAGCTTTCCAGTATTGTTGAACAGTTGTTACGGTGGTGTAATCCTGTGTAGAAATGTGTTAGGTAAGAATTTGGTTCCCTGTGGAGGCCAAATGGAGTAGCTGTTTCACAAGACCTCTGATTTGGGTAATCTGGTGTCAAATACACATAGCAATTGTATGAGGAAGTGAGCTTGTACATGTTGCTTGGTGGGGTGGTGATACCTAACCTGGCGTGGACCCAGCCTCAGAATGGATGGTGGGACCCTTGGATAGATGTGCCTGCTTGTGGAGCAGTTTCCCTGTAGCCCTTCCAGCTGTTTGTTATGGGACTTGCATGTCCTGTAGATTGCAGGAGGGTCAGAAAGGCTGGCATCTCTATTACAGAGATGTTTGGGCCAGAGTGCAAAGAGGTGAGTGAATGATACAGATGTAAAATGAGTGCTGAGAAGTGCAATCTTTCCCAGTCTAGATAAGAATGCAAGTGCAATCATTCAGGGAGTATCTAGGTCTTAAGTCCCTGTGCATCAGTAGATTTCTTTGCTCTCGACTTTGGTGCATTACTGCTGGTTGTATTCAGTAATGTGATTTCAAAACTTTGTGTAAGGTTTGGAGACCATTCAGCACACTTCAGTCTCCTGGGGTACCTAAGCACCGAATATGTTCATTTACTACTGGAAAAGCAGAAATACAGAAGATACTTGGCTGGATGAATGTTGTATACTGGACTACTATCAGAGAGAGCATTTGACTTTGGAAGCCTTGGTGATCTGTTTCCTTTTTGTGACCACTCTGACACTAGATGTTGGTTTATATGCCACTTGGAAATACTGTAATCTGATATCTAATACTTATATATATCTCTAAGTCAGGACTACATGCAGTATGGCAAAAGAGTATGGAAGTTATTACAATACTCAATCTCCTGATAAGAAGTAATCTCTGTACTGGGCAAACACAAGGATCCATAGCTCACTAATGCACTCCTGCAGGTTTTGTGTCTACAGCATTTCAAATTTAAAACAACAACAAAAAAACCCACCAACTCTTCTTTTGACACACAGTGAGAAGTGAGGTGTGGTATTTAAGAAATGCCGTTATTTCTTATTCAGTATGTGTTTTTGGAAGACTTATCTGGTTAATAACAGTGACTGCAAAAAACCAAACACCTGCCATGCTTGGATGTGAACAGGTTGGCAGAGCAGATCCTTGACAATCTAAGCAGTAACAATTCTGGCATTGCTAGAGTCTGGGCAATTTTCCTTCCCTGCTGTGAGGGAATGTGAGACATGCACATGTGTTTATTACAGTGTAGCCAGAATATGTGTAATTTTATCTTTCTGACTTTCCAGCCAGTCTGTTACTGAAAAGGACACGTGCTTAAGGCCATTGAGTTATTTCACTTTATTTAAGTGCTTGTTGTAAACAAATCCTTTATTAAAATAAAATTTACACACCCCCCCCTTTATTTTTTTTTAACGAATAGAGTACCATAAAACTGAGAGTAAAATGGGTTTATGTTGGTCCTGTATTTCACACTAAATTTTTTCACTCAGTGTTGATACACTGCTGCATATACAAACACAGTAATTATATGCTAGCAACTTCTGTTCCAGGGTTGTTTGAGGACAAGGAATTGGGAGTTAGTGGAGCTAAAGCAGTAAAGATGTCTGCTCAGTATGCAAGAGTAGTTTGAAAAAGCAAGTTGGATGCTTGAGTGAATTCAGTAAGAGCAAGGAAAGCATGTCATTGTATTAAACACTATATACCCTGATGTAGTTTAGATTCCTTTTTTTTCCGACTTATAAAAAGCATTATATATACTGAAGCTTCAAGGTACTTAAGATGCTCAGAAATGTGATGAGACACAAAATGGCTGGTTTGAAAAGCAGAAGCCAGCGAGATGATTTGAAATAACCATACAGAATATATAACATAATTGAACTTTTTCAGCCTTTGACATTGATTTGCACTGCTGCTGGCAGCCACAGCTTAGGTAGCCTGTTGGTGAGTTGCTTTATGAAAGATTTCACACAGCTTTAACCTGGTGCTTTTCGACTCCGTGCTTTAGAAGGGAAATAATTTTCACTGTTCCCATTTTATGTGGGTAAAAGGAACTAAAAAGGAACAGAATCACTAGGTTGGAAGAGACCTTCAAGATCACTGAGTCCAACCCAGCCCTAACACATCGACTAAACCCTGGCACCAAGTGCCACATCCAGTCTGTTTTTAAACACATCCAGGCATGGTGACTCCACCACGAACGAAGCAGCCTGCTCTGGTGGAAGGTGTTCCTCTCCATGGCAGGGCAGTGGAACCAGATGAGCTTTACTCCCTTCCAACCCAATCCATTCTATGATTCTAAGGGGTTTACACTACAACACTTGGCAGGTCAGAGCCAGAAACAGCTGTAGAAACTCAGCTTTTTCTGCACTCCAATTTCTCTTCACAATCTGCCCTGCTCCTGATTCTGCCGGTTGTCCAAAAGGTCACAAGTTTAATAATTAGTTTACCAAGACAGCTATAAGGCAGTAGTTCAGATAGAGGAGGCAGCAAGCATCTGTAACAGTTGCTAAAACCAGAACAGACTTGAAGGAGTTGGACATGAATACTTTTTTACCCTAAGGGTATTTAATTGACTGTAATAGAAAGTAAATTTTCATTAGGTATTGTTTGAAAAACAATAATTGTAGAAACAATATTTTGCCTGTTTGCACAGTTTGAGAAATGGCAACTATTTTGGATCAGGTGAAGACTGAAAAACAGGGAATGAGTTTTGCTAATTTGAAAACCACTGTGCAGTTTTCTGGAGGCGTTGTGGTCATTTTACTTTGGGCATGCCATATGCCCAAAATAAAGTTTCCAATTTACACTGAAAACTCAAATGTTCAAATTTATTGAAATAATGTTGTATTTTCTCCTTACAATTAACTATATCCACTTTTAATGGTTTTAGAATATATGGAATAATCAAAACTAAGTGCTTCATAAACTGAAATTTTTGTACTAAAAAAATTCAGATGAGCTAAAATAGTTTTTCTCTTTTCTCTTCAGGTCTTCTAGTCCAAAATGTACAGCATGTCAAGAAAGCATAGTAAAAGATAAGGTATTGTTAAAATTGTTTCTTATTCAAGAGTATTGAATTGTGTGGCATACACAAATTGTGTTACTGTTATGTGGTAATTATTTCATAGACCTAATAAGCTGCCTAAAAAGGTAGGTACCTAAGCCGTGCATTTATAGAGGTAGGTGGCTCATTTTTCCTGTTAACCTCATGGTAGAAAACATGACAGCTTCATCCCAAAAAGTCGAGACAGGTGTCACATCTCTTATTCATAGTTGGGAGCTGCAGCAACACATTGTAGGTGTCCTCCCATCAATCAAGAGGATGATAAGAAATATTCCATTTCCTGTAGATGCAGGGATGTGACAGGCCTAGGTGAACACTGATTTGGCTCCAGACCAGTGGCTGCTGTTTCACTCATCTCTTTTACAGTGTGGTGTTCGGGGAACCCCACTGGAATTAGGACAGTGGGGAGTTACAGTAATGGTAATGGAATCAGATTCTTTTTTATGTGTATAAGTTATTTCAGTGATACCCTCTTCACTGTTTTTCACATCACAGCTTTTTGCTGCCTTTGAAACATTGAAGGGAGAAAAACTTCTTGACTTAGTACATGGTTTATGTGGTTTTACATTATTGCTAAAGTGTTTAGTAAATTTTTTGTGCTAGTAGTCTTTCTTGCCCAAATGAATACTTGTCTTCGTAACCATTTTGAAGAAAAGGTTGATGGGTACATTAATCTGTCTTTGTTTTAATCCAGAACAGTTCTCTGAACAGTTTTCAGTGTAATTTAGTTTCGACGTGGATGGACTCTCCAGGAGCTCAGACCAACAATATTGATGCCTAATTTATTTGTTCTTTTAACTCTTGACTTTCTGGCTCTCAATATACATTAAAATGTACATTTATTGAGAAACTTCAAGTATCTTTAAAACAGGACAAGAAGGCCAATGTATATTAAATACTTATTAGACTAACTCTGCAAATTAGTGTTTTTCATGAAACTGGAAACCTTTCTTTCCACAAAATGCTGAAGTCCTAAATCACAGAAATGCTTTTAGATAGTCTTTGAAAAAAACTTGAAAGGTTGTCTTGCCTTCCCTTCAGTCAGCAAAACTCTGCATACTGACCCTGTGAATTACTTTGGAAGAGATACTGCAGCATAGCCAATTGATTATTTAAATGAGAATTGTTGATTCATTAAACTTCCCACACGCTTCTGAAAAGTAAATAGAAATCAGTGACCTGTGTCAGATGGGATCAGATGAGAGTGATTGCAGTGTTCCCTCCTTCACTGATACTGGGGATAGGTTCATAGTCACTGTGGGCAGGTGGATTATAATTCTTGGTTAAGAGTTAGCATGCAGAACCATTCCATAATTGCAGGAGTGCTGCGGTGTGCACATTATCACAGGAGTCCATTTATCAGAAAAGCAGTCATGGGTTGGGCTGGGTTCTTAGGTATTTCTTAATGGCTATTAAAGCAGTTGAAAAACAATTAAAAGTTTATCTCTTTAGTTTTGGACTTTAAAATAGCACTAGTGGTTTCAATTCTTGTCTCTGCCTAGTTTCTGCCTTTTGCAGTTTGGCTCCTTGAGAGTTCAGTTGTTTTTTCTCTTATGGGGTAAAACTCAAACCCCAGCCTTTCTATCTGTAACTTCTTCCAGTTTTATTGTGGACAAAAAATGCTCAAAGTGTTTATAAATATTAAAATTGAGAAATAGTTAAAACCTGCTTATCTGTGAAATAAAAAACTTCCTTCCATCCAAAACCTTAGAAAATATCTGTAATTATTTGTCACCACTGAAGTGCAGGTAGGTATTCCAGCCACCCAATCTACTAATTTTGGGACCACAATCGATGAAACGCTTTCCCCCCAAACTACTGTGCTTTGAGTCTGTTTTGTCCTATGGTATTGTGCCTAATACTGCTGCTCCCCAAACAATGGAGAGAATTCTAGCTTGTGCAGGCCTAATATTTTCAAGCAAAACCAAAATTTGGTTCTTTTTTGTACCTTTCCCTTTATTGTATTTGCAGTACAGCTGAAACAGTAGTAGAGTATCTGTCCAAATAGTCTTTCATTGAGCTGCTTCACAGCTGAGGAACCTCGGTGTTGTGCACATTCTAGAAAAATGGAATAGCAAGATTTTATTTCTGGCACATAAAGCTAGAATTGACTGACACTCTTGTAGCTGAATTGCATGGCTTCTACTTTATTTGAACTTGCATATCCTTGAATGGCTTTCAGTTTCTAAAATTAAGTGATTTTTTGATTTTTCAGGTATTTAAAGATAATTGTTGCAGGAGAGAACTACTTGCCCTTCAGATATATTGCAGAAATGAAAACAAGGGCTGTAAGGAGCAGCTATCTTTGGGTCAATTACTGGTAAGTTAATCTAACAGTCTTAAACTTTCTTTTGAGTTAGAGATTGATTTAAAAATTCTTGCAAATTAAAATAACAGTCAGTTTCTTACCTTACTCCCACTGGTGGTTAATGTGATTTAGAAATGTTATGATAGATTTAAATTGTTTTCAAACTCAGCTTTTTTATGAACTGTAAGGAATTCTAAAAGAATCGTGATTGTCTGGCACTAAAGCTTGGAAATATAAACATACAAACCAAATGAGAACTGGAAAGAGAAATAGAAGAGTGAAGAATCTTAATGTGTACTTGACAAATGTGAGAAATTTGATTTCTATTTTGGTGTGTTTTTATTTATCTTAATCCTCTCATGTGGTGTTTATATTTTAAATTAAACCTTTAGCTTCTCCAGAGTTGTGTAAAATAAGCTGTAGCTGTTTGGTGAAGGCATGAGATAGCAGTAATTCAGTAATTCAGCAATTGTATGGTATGGCTGCACAGCAGTTTGCAGTAAATGTGTAGATTCTTGCTTTGAGTGAGCAAGCTCAGGTACCTAAACAATTTAAAGCAGCATCTGTGTTTATGTGGAATAATACTCATTTAAAAAGGGGGATTATTTTTTCTTTAAATGGCCTGGGTAGAATTTTGTGCTGTTAGAATGCTTTTAGTGTAGGAGTAGCTCATGTACATGTGTAATGCAGTGAAATCAGCTGTCCAGTTAAAGGGACTGTACAGTCAGAAATGTATTCCTGAGTAGTTTTGTCAGTGTTTGCTCTTGTGGGATGCAGTTCACAAAATAACTCTTCTTACTTTGGTTCTGAAGTCTTCAAAGGATGGAAGACATCCACAAAACTTAATTGGATTGACTTTTTTTTTGTTTTTCTTTAATCTTTCAGATGCATTTGAGGACTGACTGTCAGTTTGAAGAACTCCCATGTCCTCGTGCTGATTGCAAAGAAAAAATACTACGAAAAGATTTGCCAGACCATGTAGAGAAGACCTGTAAATACCGGGAGACAACCTGTAAATACTGTAAAAGCCAAGTCCCAATGATTATGTTGCAGGTGCAGTATTTTCTTGTGTATATACATCAAGATTCCCTACATTAATGTAGAATAATAACAACTTTTCTTGACCTTCTCTATAGCTGCCAAAAGAGCTTTAGCCCCTTAGCCAGAATTAATAATTCAAAAAAGAAAATAAGCTGACTTTCAAAACATGACTTTTTCCTGCAAAAAAAAGTGCATTGAACAGGGAATATTTTCTTTATTCTGATGTTCAGATACTGCATTTTAAAAAGTTCAGATCCACTGCCTGGTATTGATACTGAAGTTAATTTTCCTGTGCTTTTTAGATATTTTTTTGCAATTTCGATAATAAATGCAACTGCTATAATAACTATCACATATTATGTAAGAAAAGCATAAGCATAGCAATTGACTGGAAAAATAACATCTTCTATGTCGTCCTTCTTGGGTACTGTGTGATATGTTATGGGAGGAAGGGAAGAATGTAAAACCAGTTCTGTCTTATGAGACGAAAGGAAGGGTGCAAAAGCAAATTGTACCTTGGCATAATGAGCAGTGGTACATGACAGGACAAGGAAGAGTTACTGCTGTTCTTGGCATCAGAGTAGCTTGTCTGATAGGCAGCATACTGAGGGTTAGAAAGTTGGTTAGAGGTTGAGAAAGTCATGCTTTTTTACACATTGAATTTTAACTTTGACTGTGTTTATGTTATTTCACATGGAAAGATATTATGCTGAATCTATCTGGGTATGATTTTAAGATTTTTTTAATTGTCTATATAGTTTCTGTAGTTTGATGGACTTGGATCTCACACATTCTTACTACAGTAAGACTGACGAAAGTTTTATTCTCATTTGTGTTCTTATATGTTGTTTGTTAGGTGAAGTCTGACAATGATGAGAAGTGTTCTTTGCTTGGAGATGTTGTTACAAAAAGGCATAGGTAGAAACTTGCCAAGTTCTGGTTTAGATTTGGCTCTCAATTAACTGAGTGCACACTTGCAGATGCTGGTAGTTCAATAGCTGTGCCTTACCTAGAATCAGGTGGCTGAGTTGTGAAAATACACAGAAAAAATTGTCAGCCCTGTATTTATTCTTGTACATTCCAATACAGAGGTGGAGTGTATTTAGGTAGATTATGATGCTGTTCTCCCAGAATTATGATTAGGCTGGGGATTGGCATGAGGCAAAAACTGATATTAAAAAATGTGTGGTGTCTTAACAGACAGAATCAGTGAGTTTGTACTATGTTCTGCAAACTTGATGGGCTGATATTTTTGGGGCTTTCTCCTAGATTTTTAAAAGTTCAGTGGTCATAGAAATGCAGATGGGGCTTCTTTGTTGTGACCTGATTAAAATGTTATCTCACTATACTTTAGTAATAAGAATCAGAAGCTTAATAACACTGTATGTTTGAATCTTAGAATCACAGAATGGTTTGACTTGGAAGGGATCTTAAAGATCATTCTTGTTCCAACCTTTCTGCTGTGGGCAGGGAGAGCTTCCACTCAACCAGTTTGCTCAAAACCACATCCAACATGGCCTTGAATGCTTCCAGGGATTAAGCATTCACTGTTTCTCTGAAAAATCTGTTCCAGTGCCTCATGATCCTCACAGTATAGAGCTTCCTAAGATCTAATTTAAATCTGCCCTCGATCAGCTTAAAGCCCTTCTCCCTTGTCAAATCTCTACATGCCTCTGTAAAAAAAGTCCCTCTCTGGCTTTCTGTAGGCCCCTTTAAGTACTGTAACGTTTCTTTTGACTTCTCATTTAAGTTTTGTCACCCCGTTGACAAAACTGGACTTTTAAAGATGAACTTGAGTTCATCTCTGGGTTCTGCAGCCTAGAATTTTCTGTAATGTAATAATGACTGAAGCTGGCCTCAGTGACTTGAACTGAAAACGGAGATGGGGGAGCGGACTGAGAAAAAAGGTATGCAAATGGAAACAAAAAATTTTACTGGAGAACATGTGGTTCATGTCTTCATAGAATCCCGTGACCCATGGGGTAGGAAATCCCCGTTGTTGGAGGCAGACTCCAACAAGTTAACAATGTCAGTAGAATGCTTTTGTAGATTGTATTTTTCTTGTCTGCATGCTCACTCGCCTCTTAATGTCCTTTGTTCAAACAGTCTAAAAATTTAGGGTTTCTTTTTGAATTTTGAACCAAGCCTGCTTTTTCCATCCTCTACCCCCTGACAGATAAAGATGGTGCATTGTTAGAATGGAAATTGTAGTATGAAATGCTTCTGGATTACTGTATTTTTCTGTATGTAATCCACAAAGCTGCTTGGAAGTGCTTGTCCTGTAACACTGATCCTTAGACAGCAGCAGAGTGACACGGATCTGGAAGGACAGCACTGTTTCATGCCTGGGCTCCTCCCTGAAACCCTGGCCATAAACCAGACCCTGTCAGGACAGTTTGGGCTCTACCCAGTGCTCTGAAATACAGCTGGGCTGACTGGGATAGCATCAGGGAAGACCCCAGACATTGTCCCTTGCTGCCTGTCACTGCTCTGGAGCCAGACATGTTCCTAATGTGGCACTGGCTCTTCTGGGAGTAGTGTTAATATCCTGGCCTGCCCTCCCGTGTGCTGGCAGCCCTGCATGTGCTATGACCTGTGGTTTGTACTGCAATTGGTGTTTGGCTTGATGTACTCCACTGGGTGAATTGAGGTTAGGAGGGAGAGAGTTCTGCCACTGGACTGGGGTTACTCTAGTATATCCTGAAGTCTCTGGAAAGGCTTGCTGTGGCTCAGTGGGTGGACACTGGGATGTGGAGCAAGGAGGAAAACAGGAGAGAATGCTGAGGAGTTGCATGTTGCCTTTTTATCATAAACCAAGACTTAGTGTCACAGCCTTTGTCAGATGGTTTGGGTAGGTTAGGGAACAGGGTTAGGGAATGAAAATTAGGGAATGAACATTAGACGGGAATATTACTTTTCTGGGTTTGTAGTTGATAAATAATTAATGATGTGTGTCGGGCATTAGGCTCCTGAAGTGGTTGTGTGAGATGTCTCCCTTCAGCACAATTCCAGATGTGTTCAGAATGAGAGGCCCATGTCCAGCTCTTGGTGCTTTGGGGCTCCACTTGTCAGAAGAGCATCGCTGTCACCCCGACAGGCTGCTCTGAGGAGAGGGGTTGGCATTACTCCTGGCTGGTACCCTGCTGGGGGCAGACTGAAGATGGCTCAGGAGCTGTCCCAGCTCTCTGGCTGAGGAGCAGCTGAGGGTTCCCTGGTTCCTGTGGCTGGGATTGCGCCATGTCCCAAGTGAGCGAGTGTGAATGGGGAGCATGGCAGGGTGGATGGCTCAGGACAGCATCTGATGGCCTGCTTTAAAAGGAGGAGATAGACAACTTCAGATGGTTGCAGATTTATGCCAGAATTCCCACCAAGGCCTTTCACATCTTGGAGATCAGATCTGCTTTACGTCTCGGTTTTCTTTCAAAAAATAGACCTGTTACTGGGCAAAAAGGGCATGCTATTTGTTCTTCCCTTTCTAACAGGCTTGTAAATCTAGAACTTTGTTTCCTTTGCTTTCCTGAAGTACCAGAAATTAAGCAGTGTGTTTCAAGTTGAATGGGACATGTCACTTGACGAGAAACGGATTTTTCATTTTGTTGAAAACAGAGAGGAAATGTAAATTCAGTTATCTTGGGCCTGACTTTCTTCCCTCGCTGGGGTGGTAGGGCTTGACAGCTATGCTGAGATACCTGTCATCTTAAAATCCCTGCCCAGCATCATGATGTGTAACAGTGAGTCTTAGTATCAGGTATTTGGGAATCAAAATTAAAAAATAATTGGAAGAGAATCTCTGTGAGTGGACAGTGTACATTTCTGGTGAACTTTTTCATGCAGTATATACCCTTTCTAGAAAGGACATCTGCACTGGTTCTGCTTTCTCTTAAAGATGCCCAATTTTGTGAGTAACTCTTGGGGGTTAAAGTTTGACTTCAACTGCTGTTTCATTGTATGAAGTAAAACCAATGAAATGGGAAGCAAATAGATTTGCTTTGCATGGGAGAAGACAATGAACCTCTTGGTTTTGCTTCAGAATATCAACACCTCCATCAAAAGTATAAAATGATGTTTGAGCAATTGCAGTTCTGTAACTGTGCAATTGGGAATAACATTGAAAAAATGCTGTGGGATTTTTAGTTATTGTAGGATGCTTTTCTTTGCAGGTAAGTAATTTCTTAATTAAAGTGTAAGATCTGATTTGTGGTTTGTTTGCTTTTTTCCTCTGTAGAAACATGAAGATACAGAATGCCCATGTGTCATGGTTTCATGTCCTCATAAATGTAGTGTTAAAACACTCATGAGGAGCGAGGTAAGAAGTCATGTCCAGTGTTGTGCTGAAAAACAAAATAGTGTCTTTAGTAAGATCTCGCAAGAATTTTGCCAGAAGCCATTTCCTTGTTAAAATGTGAGATCTACGGAAAAGCTTTTTCTACCACACAGTTAAGTGTGATAACACTCAAATATTTTTAATGAGTTCTTCAAAAACTTTTTAAAAAGAAACAGTTTCTTAATTTGAGTCATTATTACACTTGGCTTGTCCAAGGTTAGCGCATGTCCTTCTTGCTTTTATTTTTACTATCTCTCCCCCTGCCCTTCCCTCGTTTCAGCACCATAAAGCAGCATCTTGGGGTAGTTAGCTTATATTAAAATACACAATTATGATTCAGTCCACGTTGATAAGAGTTAGTAAAGACTATAAAAATCATGTAGATGTGAAATTTCATGGAAAAACTTAAATTACTATTAAATCTATTAAATTTTGGGGGGTGGGGGGCAATAGTAACTAATACTTAGGGAAATGGTGTAAGATTAAGGTTGAGTACAGCACTCCAACAGCAGATGCAACAATGCATAAAAGTTTCTCCTTATGTGTAGAAGCTTCCAGTAATATGTAAATGAAAAAAAACCTCAAGCCTGGTTTTGAAGAGATCCATGTTCTTGTACATGAAAAGATAAAAGTAGCATGTGTCAAAATTTAAGGTACTTATTTTTCCCTTAAGAACTTACTTGCCAAGGAGAGAGAAGAACTTACTGAAGTCTTCATCACTCAGTAAGCCTCTTTTAAGGAAAGTGAAGCTTCTGATCTGAGGATGAGCTTTTTTCTTTCCTCTTCTACTTAGTTCCCAAGCTGGATTCATACCATTTTGCAGTTGCACTTGTAAATTATTAATTGTAGCAGAGTGCAGAAGGCACATAAGAGTCCTGCCAAAGTTTAATGCAGTCTTTTCCTCCAAGATAATTAAATACAAAATATATGATAGATATTGTGTTTATTAAGAGAAATTGAGCTGTTAAGAAAAGAGAAAATACATATACTGGCCAACCCTACCAGTGCTTACTGCCAGGATTAGATCCTGGTTCTGGAGCACTTTGGCTTATTCTTAAACCCTGACTTCAGCTGTTACTTTCAGAAGAGGTGTGTCTGAGTGCTTGTAAGGGCTGCACCATTACAGGCTGGGTTGTTACACACAGAGTCAGGATGGGGTTTGAAACCATGGGTAGAAACAGAACTTTAAACAGCCCTTTGCCCTGCATCATCTGTTGCTGTATGTTGCTTAATTTTTTTTTTCTAATACTGTGAAAATGTATGTATTCCTTGGATGCATGATTAGGGACAAGAAGTCTAATGCAGAAAATGGGAAAATGCCTGCCTAACAGTTTGAGAAAATTCCATAGTGTACAAGTGGATCTGACTGTAGAATAAAAGGCAGTTTTCATGTTTAATTCATAACTCTTTGGCAGACTTCTGGCTTTCAGAAGTTGAAAAACGTGGCATTCTTGTAAAACCTGTTAGACCACATGTCCCTTTCTTACTTCATTTTTTTTCTCCACTACATGTCTTTTGAAATGATACTGTGAATTTCTACAGGTAGTGTTTAGAATACAATAGTTGTGAATCAGAGATGAGTGACTGATGGCATCTCAGTATGAGATTTTAAAGACTCTCTTGTCTGTTCCAGAGCTACACATTGAGAGCAGTGTTGATTCACCACTTCTTTCCAGGGAGGTGGCTGAGCTGAGTCATGTGGGGCTTAAGGTGTGGGAATTTCAGATGAGATTCTGCAACCCAAAAGAGTGATGCCAGCTGAGGAGCCAGGCTCTGGCTCATCTGCTTTGTGGGAGATACAAACTGCAGACTCTGTTTTTGAAAAGAGAGTGTTTGTTAGGCTGTCCTTTCCAAAATTGTCTTTCTGCTCCAACTTTTAGGCAGTTTGCATCCAGCTGCTGCCATCTGTGCTGCTGCTGTCCATGTATATGTATATGCTTCTGTGAATTGGTTTACTTTTAAATGAAAAGTGGTCTGTGCTCATAATAATCCAAGATATTGGACTAAATCTCAATCTGTGAAAAATGCAGGCATTTTACTAATCAGTTTTAATCCCGTGTACTGCATTTTTTAAAAGTTACTTAACTTGTACCTATTCTAAAACTCTTTGTCTGTTTCATGCAGTACTTGTTTAGTCTTTTTTGTGTAATTTAACTGTTAAATTTAGGCACGGATAATTGCATGTTATGTTTTGAAAAGTCGGTTCCTCATGAAATTAGGATTAGAAAAAAATGTACTTTATTACAGTGAAACTGATCTTAAGACTTGCTCAGAGCACCAGTAAAAAAAAAAATCATTTTTTGAGAAAATATTAGCCATTCACTAAAGTCAAATGAAATCAAATAATTATAGAGTATGTTCTTTCTGTTTGTTTTGGTCTTTTTTAAATTGGGTTGCCCATTGAAATAGTCTTTGGTAGAAGTTTCACTGTATATTAAATGTATCACACTGTATACTGTATTGGCATGTGCGTGTGGTTTACATATGTGTATATACAGAATTAGCACTTGAGATCAGACTGGAGAAAATATACACATGTGTGTTGTATGTTCTGCAAATGGCACACAATACAAACCTGATAACCTCTGCCCTTTATGTTATCATGCCGAAGTCTTTTTGCCAAAACTCACATTTTTTTCCTATTGCAGTTGAATGCACATTTGTCAGAATGTATTAATGCCCCAAGTACCTGTAGTTTTAAGCGTTATGGCTGCACTTTTCAGGTCAGTATATAACAATTATACTTCCCAATTGATGAAAGTCTGCAAATAGAACCTAATTCTTTGACATGAAAGTTCTGGACGTCTCTAGTTTCAGTTAAGAAAATCATCCAGTTGCCAACTGATTATACAGGAGATGTTTGATTTTGCATTTTAAAAAATAAACCACATGAAAAGGCCACACATTCCTGCAGTGGTTTTTGAGTCCAGGTATTCGATATATCTTGTCAAAATAGAAATATGGTACATTTGAAGAACTTGTTAATGTAGGATAAGAGGAAAGTCTCTTTAGTTCTTCAGAGAATAGACTAGTAACTTCAGTTCTTTCTATTAAAGCATTTTCTTGAACTAAGTATGTTTATATTTTCTCTCATTTGTGTGTTTTAATTGAGGTTACATATAGGTTAGCACACTTAAAACATATATTTTTATGTGCATTAATATGTCTGTGTGCACATAGGTGTATAATCAAAGCATGAAATTTATTTTTTAAGAAAAGTTTTAGGTTTTAATCCTGGCAATCCCTGCAATATTTAAAAAATAAAGTCAAACCTGAGAGTTTAGTTTCAGCAGTATTATTCCAGTTTCTTCCAATATTCTGCTTCCCTTACCATAAATCCTGGGGAATTTGGATGCTTATGTAATGAAAATATTAGTCAGGACATTTCAGAAACCGCTGACAGAAAAAAATGGCTTGTATGTGATAGAGTGATTCATTTGTTAGCCCATGGCTATTTAAAAGTACAAGGACTCACTGAGGAGCAACACGTCTCTATAGATGATGTCCTGCAGGTATTTCCAGGTTCTTAAATAATGAGCATTCATCTTTTTAAGTGTTAACAGTAATGCTCTTAGTGGTAGAACTGATAATGCTGTAACCCTGCCCACTGTTATGTTGTACGTATTGCCATTCATTTTATGTATGTATATGTGTGCATATATGTACATATATCCACATATATATTTTTAGTACTTTATATAGAGTACATACCTTGAGGATCATTGAAACCCTTTCAGTTGCTTTGCAGTACTATCTACCATCAAAGCTAATAATTCTCTGCATTGCAAAGCACTTACTGAAGTAGGTGTAAGCAACACAATACAAAGTAAGTAATATGGTCTGCATCTTATGTACTCTGTATATAATCTATGTGTGTTCTGTACACTCTTTATATAGTGATTATTTGTAACAGCACTTATAGGTTGTGCAGAGGCAGCATATCTGAATATCACGGAACAATCATGGTAACATCTTAAACATGACAAAATAGGCATTGTAATAACTCTCAGTGTAGTTTATAAAGCTGGCAGTTTCCAGTGATGATAAATTTATCTTAAATATTTGTCTTTAATATTCAGCTGAAGGAAAATGTAATGCTTATGAAGCTGTTAATGAACTAGAACAGAAGTTTTAAATTACTGTTAGTGGAATTGGAAGTTTCAGATTTTATATGACTCAAGGGTTTTATTGTGCTTTGTTTAGTTCTAAGCTACACAAAGGACTCTAAAATACAACTCATTTTGTAAATCTTGTTCATCTTTATTGTTTCTGAGTTATCAAGCACACTGGATGGAGATACATAGCAGTTGTATAAAACACTTGCTATATTAAATGTATTCCTGATTTTTTGTAAATTCCCAAGTAGATTTCCCTCTCTCTACAGTTCTGCAACAAGGACCTGTGAACCAAAATATGTAGTATTGGTTCAATGTCTTTATATACTCTTTCTTTGTAGGTTTAAAAGAAGTGGAATTGGCTAAAATGTATAAATTCTTTGTTGTCACAGGGAACAAACCAACAAATTAAAGCACATGAAGCCAGCTCAGCAGTGCAGCATGTTAACTTATTGAAAGAGTGGAGCAATGCTCTAGAAAATAAGGTATATCTTCTACTCACTTTTAATTTTCATTGAGTTCTTTAAATCATACAAAAGTACTGGAAGAAGCGCTTTTTCCCTGTTTTACAGCTGTTCAACATTACAGCTAAAGCACTAGTAGATTTCAAAAGCTATCAAGCCATTTAGCATGTCTTTGTACCTTTGCTATATAATAAAATGCTGTGAGAAACTTGGCTTCGCAACTCCATGGATAATTTTCCTCATTGATAACTTAATGAAAACACTTTCTTCAGATAAATAAATAGTCCAGTATTATGTTTCCTCTCTGAGTTGTCTTCTTACAGAACAGAGTTCAGAAAGCCATGGCAGCACTGTGAGCTGTATCTTTGCTTGCTCATAATTTTTCCTGACATAACTTCAGAAGTTTGTAATAAACTGATTATTTATTTTATTTATTTTTATTCTTGCTCTCCAAACTTTAAGACTTGCACAGTTTAATTAAATTAAATATACTGTTACTCATGGGCATGATGATGTCTGCTTTAGTGCTAGACCAGCATGAAGTTCATGTTGCAGTGTTTCCTTGGGACTCCAGGTTTTAAATTGTTTGGGATTTGGGAGATGCTGGGAGTTGTATCATCTATGATCTTGTGAATAAGCTTGAATGACTTAACCACGTGTTCTGCGAATAAAATTCAAGCCTTTGATTTAAAAAATTGAAAACTTCAGAACAGATTGCAGTTTTCTTAAATCCTATTGAAAAAAAAAATATTATATGGACATAAAACTGATGTTTCTGTATTTTTAGGGGGAAAAAGATCCCAGAATTACCAAAGTATTCTACAAATGCAGGCACAAGAGTGAGGAGCCCCCTTCAGACTTTTCTCAAATGAGTTCACAAGTAGCAATTCCAGTGTAAGCTCAGTGGCACTCAGGGTATGGTTTCTGTCATCTCAGAGCAGATCATAAGCTAGATCACAAGAAACTCTGTCTAGAAAGCACATTCCTTTCTTGTCCTACAGAGGTCTCTTCTGCCTGGGTCTCCAGCAAGGTCATGCAGCTGCAGGAATTGTAGTTTTAAAGCAGACATTAACTGGAATAGTGTAAATACGTTTTTTGCCCCCAGCATGGTTGCTCCTGAACTGAACTTGAAGCCCCTTAAGGATGCCATTGAACCTGGCAGAGTTCTAATACAAATATTTTTAGACAAAATTTTCTACATGTGTAGGTAGTTCTTAGTTTGACGATCCATAACATAAGTTTGCTTTTGCATCTGAAACTTTGTCAACTTAGGAACTTTACATTTTTCAGTTTTGAGAGATACAGATTCATATCCTTAGTTCATTTTTCATTAGTCTGATGAAAACTATGCAACTTATTTCACATCATAGGAAAAAACCCACCTTCCCTTTGACTTGCAGAATAGATCATGTTCTGCCTTTTCTCAGTGTCCTGAGAGGTGCTTTGTCATTTAAAAAATGCCCAGTGGTTCTATGTTTGTCTCTTACAGACATTAGAGATGATACACTTCACTACTGTTTTATGCTTGACTTTTGTTTCAACTTTCATTTAGGACATAACTGCTTATCATATGTCCATTTTTTTTCTTTTTACTTCCTGCTTTATAGACTTCTTCCTATTCATAATAAAGAGTTGAATCACTGGAAATCCCAAGCCAGTGCCAAGTTACCAGAATAGCTAACCACATGTCATATGTCAGTGATTTTATTCTAGGGAAGGGTAACAAAATTATTTGTAACTTCATTGCTGTGCTCTTCTTTGAGGAAAAAATTAATCAATGCACTGAGGAACAACAGTGCAAAGTCAACTTGGCTGATGGGTATCTCAGAAATCTTAGCCCTACTGAAGCCAGTGGAATTCTTCTTAGTTTGTACACGCTTAAGATTTCATTTGGGATTCTCTCTGTGGTACGTCTGGAGGGGAAAGGAGAAGTTCTCTTCTCCCAGTCACCACATTCTTTAACAGTGCATGTGGAGTAGGCAAACTGGAGATCTTCAGTGCTGCAAAGCTCATGCTAAGTTAGGAGTTTGGTATTGAATGGTGCTGGTGGCAAAGAGTAGTAAGAGAAGGTCAGATGTAAAATCTTGACTCACAACTTTGTGGGGGTAATTAAAATTCAGGGCTTTTTCCCCCTCTGTGATGATGTAGAATTGCAGACTGAACTCCCACGGTTTTGTAATGTTGGAAATAACCAGTTGAACATAATTTTGTGTCTTCATCTCATTCTTACAGAAAACTGGTATAAGCTCTTTTCTTTTTTGATACAAGACTTCAATATGGAACCTCTTTGAATACAGTTTCTTGTGGCATATGGTTTTTTCTATTCTTCAGTAAGCAACAGCTTAATTTGAAAAATTGTTGAATAAGAGCATGCTTTTTCCTAGGAATATTTCAAATATGCCAACTAAGTAAAGGAAGCTGATGCAATTTGTAATTAGATGGTGTGTTTCCTTCACCCTTTTTTAAATTGAAGTTCTAAAGACTTATGCTGAAACTATAGTTGGTGAACTATTTAGTGCTGAGTTTTTTTTTTTATTCACAAATCACAACTATAATTGCTGACTAAGCAATGACAGTTCTGTACGATTAAAGACTGCAGGACATAATTCTACTTTTCTTGTGTTCTGTAAAGCTGTGTGGAAAAATCTCTGTACAAAACAGGCCCACGTTTTATAACTTGTACAAAAATGGAAATGCAATGCTTAGTGGCCCAGAGCATAACTGCCTTGTGATTGGGAGGCCTCAGGAAGAAACAGTGAGAAAAGGGAAATGTAAAGATCACAATTAACTAAAGAACTCTGATTCACTAAGAAAATGGAGGATGCAAAAAAATGAAGCATCCACCCAGCTGATCTTAAATATCTGGGAGGCAGAGGTACTGATTTAAATTTAAATTTTTTCTGGTACCTAGGCATTCCTTCAGTCTCAGTATTGCTTCTCTCTCTGCACTGACAAACTGTGCTTTGTCTCATTTCTGTTGATTTTCTTTTGCCAGTTTTTCCATGTATAAAGTGTAGAACCAACCTATGTGTGTATATGCACATATACTGTACTATATTGAAAAGTAGATACTCACACATATATCATGGTATTTCTGTATTTTTGAGCCCCTGTCTAATGAACTTGCTGAATGCCTGTGGGCTTAGATGGTCCTTTGTCTAGTTCAGGTTGGTTCAGAGATTTGAGATGAATTACCTTTTCCAGCAGGCTAGGTTCTGCTGGGAGTGCAGTGACACACACGGGATTTGGTGGTGGTGTCTGATTAGAGGGCTGTTAGGGGGATGGAATTCTGCAGTGGCACCCACATCAGAGGTAAAGATGGCTTAGCCTCAAACAAGCACATGTAATAGAGGCCAGGAGTATATTTTTTGAGAACATGAAACATCCAAGTAATTAGTCATGATGTGAAACATCAAGATTTTTTTGAGTCTGAAATGGTGCTGTGTCATATCCATTTTTAAGATCTATCTATGGAATAATCAGGGCATGTCCAAACATCATCTTGTGCCAAGTGTTTGTTTTCTTAGTTTTTGCTGCTGAAAGATCTTCCCTGGGGAAAAACTACATTTCTCAAAAAAGCAGTGCACCACCAACAAGCAGCCCCTTTCTCCAAACCACATTAATGAACAAGCACTAAGCAGTGTGACAGAAAATATTTACTGTATTACTTTCATCCCTAAGGAGATGTATAATACGATATTCTTTTAACAAGGCTCATGTTTTAAAAACAGAATGAGTCACTAATGAATAAATTCATAAAATGTCAGTACAGAGAGAGAGAGAATATAATTTACAGCCTGTAGTTCTTTGGTCTTTTCTACTAGTAGGCACCACTGGATTGTCCTTCAAATGCATGGATCCCTTCTATATTCACTCATTTTAAGAGTTTTCATCGCCATCACATTCTTTTAAGCCAAGTCCGTCCCATGCAGATGTTTTTCCTTAAACTTGCTAGAGATCAGGATAGATTGGAGTAGGTGAAGATAAGTGTTCCCTGATCCAACCAGCTCAGCTTGTCTCTGGTGTCCCTTCTGTGTAGGGCTTGAGTTCTTAACACCAATTTAGAGTGGATTAGGTTGTTTCTTCCAAACTCCAAGCAACTCCCAAGTCAGTTGATGTAAACCAGGAAACCAAGCCATTAAACAACTGAATAAAGAAAATGTTACATTTAGACACAAGTTCTTTGCTGGTTTTGTATCCCATCTGCACTTTCTTAAGCCAAAGCTGTACCAATGCCATACATTGGAAGTGCAAAAATAGCTATCAGAAGGTTGGGTTTTATTTATTTATTTGCAATACATGGAGAGAGATTTTATTAGGATCTTATCCCTTCATGTGTTTAAGATAGTTTTAAACTAACACAGGTATTTTAGTATTTTAATAAACTTTGGCAGGAGTAATTGTAGAATTTTTTCCAGGTGGCCTTGCTCCAGAATGAAAGTTTGGAAAAGAACAAGAGTATACAAACTTTACATAATCAGATTTGTAGCTTTGAAATAGAAATTGAAAGACAGAAGGAAATGCTGCGGAATAATGAATCTAAAATACTTCATTTACAGGTAAGAAATACAGACTCTCCCCATTAAAGCAGAAATGGTAGTAGCTTCTGTTCTGTGCCTTTACACTTGTGAAGTGAGGTGGTCTAATTAAAAAGTGGGGGGAGATATTTTACATTATTAGGGAGCCATTCTGATTTTTTTTCTGGTTTGTTGTGTTTAATGGGGTAAGATACTTCACTAAACCACTGCAATTACCTAGCCTATGTTAAAACAAAAAACATTTAAAAAGGGAAAAGACTGAAAACAAAGTGGAACTCTTGTATGTAGAATCTTTTTTTTACTTAAAAAAACTGCTTAAGGAAGTCCCACTGAAGGACAAGATTAGCACCTTAAAATTATCGAGTAGTACATATATTCCTTTTTGACTTGCTGGTATTGGAAAAAAATACTAATCATGAGTGAGATCAGTCTGGTGTGGATTTAATTGAAACATAGCATAATGCATTTGAATACACTTTTTAAAAATCCAGATTTCTGCTGTCCTTCTGAGGAAAATGTATGTAGTTATTCCTTTGCTCATAACTCCGAGTTTCATGTTCTGTGTTTCGAATGACCTGGCCACAAGCCAGCATGAAACTAGGAATCCTCAGGATGCCCTAGCATGGTGGTTAGCCCAGGCTGAAATTCCTTGCTCTGTATTCAGAGCTGATTTGGGATGTGGGTGCTGGGAATTTGTATTAGCTTGCATGATACTAACCACATTAAGGGAAACCTCAGGAGATATTTAGCAAGGAATTGTGGAGGTATCATTTACACATTAATGTAGTATGTCTGTTGCTAGAATATCAGGTACTTGTTGTAGCATCCATCTTAAAGGAATGTAAATAAAATTATCTTTTTCACTTATTATTCACGTCACATATAAACTGAAAATGTTGATAACTCAAGAAAGATAAAGGTATTCAAACCAGTGTGTGGCTAAAATTCAAAGGGTTGCACATTCAGGAACTCAGATTCTGGAGACCCTTGATGATGGTTTATCAGGAAACCTTCAAGTTTGGAAACTGCAACATTTTTCCTTACAGCAGTAATTTCTTTCCATGACCTGCCCACTTAGTAACCAGCTCAGCCTGCCTTAGTCATTGTTACTTGTCTGATGATAGTGTGGGATGTGGCTGCCTGCATGCAATATTGCATTCTGACACTGGGGAGCTAATCCTTGTATGTACTGATATTGCCGATTGAATCTACCAGGAGGTAAGTTAATTTGTAAGCCTGGAGTTCTTACACATGCTGTCTCAATGGCCAGCAGTGAGAGTGGAAATGGAAAAAAAAATATAGAGCAGAGTTTTTCATTATTGTCTTAAATGACAGATTGCAATATCTTTTTCCTCGAGCTGTAAGTGTTAGCAAAATCAATTTTCGAGTGATTGGTTTAGGAAAAAAGAAAACCCCAAACCACTACAAAGCAGCAGATTGCAACAGGTGGCTTTGTGGTGGTAATAAGTACTGGAGAAAAATGTTTTGCTCTTTTTTCTTTTTTTCCCCCTTTTTTTTCCCCCTTCTGCTCTTTACTTCCTCTTGCCAGCTATTTCAATTTAGTTATTTTAAGCCAAACTGTATTTTAATGCTATTTCAACCTGTTTCCTTCCACTTAGCAGAATTTCCTGATTCCTTCTGATTGTTAAGGGTATCCTGGAAACACCCCTCAATTTGTTTTTTCATGGGCAGCATGATCAGCCTCCTTCTGTTGCCCACCAGGAGTGGAAGGAATTAGTTACCTTTTGTGAGCCATTCTATCCCTGGGTTGTGTTGAGCAGCTGTGGTTACCTGGGAGCCAGAGATGCTGCACTAACCAGTTCAGGTCTGAGCAAGGGGTATTTGCTTCATCCCCTGAGATGTATAAACGCTCCCCATGCCGAGTACAGTTCCAGTATTGGCTGTGGGATGACTTTTTTTTGCTGGAGAGTGGCAACAGCATCACTGAGCATCACTTGCACTGTGAGGGGTCTGACACAACCAGTGTAAATGCATCAAAGGAGTCTGGGCACTGGCAGGAACCTCAGTCTAGAGATGTTTTGTTTTCAGATGAGTTTTCTATATATTGGTTTCCAGGGAAAGTGTTTTTACCGGTGCATGGTACTTTTTTGGCTGCTGTCATGTGGAGAGGAACTTTCACATCCAGTCTTTCATATGGAAATGGAAGCATGTGAATATGCCCATTGTAAGCAGGGTGGGGACATGAGGTACTGAGGGACAAAAGAAACAGTGGCCTCATGAACATAAAATGATTTGATGAGTAATACATTCCTTCAGAGGAGAAGGACACGTGATTTCTTTTCCAAGTCAAGCAGTACCTTTTCTAGTCTGTTCTTTAGCTTTTCAGTTTCGCTCTATCAGGTGCAATGGAAAGGTCATTACAGCGCTTCAGATCCTTGTGACATTTTCTGAAATTCTTTTATTAAGTATAGTGCTAAAATTCTGGAAGTTGGTAGAAATACTAAACAAAACCCCATATGAAAATCAACATCAAAAGAAGCTCACAATGGTTGTCAAGCACATAACTCGAGATTAATGATCTAGAGAGGTCAGTTGCTAGAATGAAAAGTGCATGCAGAAAATTGATATCTACTTGAAAATTTATGAGTACAGTGTGAGACATCTGTGTGCTTTCTAATGGAATAATTAGAGTGAAAATCGCTACTGCTGCATTAAATTCAGATTTAGTACAGCAGTATCTCCCAGTAGGAGGGAGGTTGACTCCCTGTAGGGTAAAAAGACAGAGATCCCACTGCTTTTTAAAAATTAAATAGAAGTCTTATTTCTGATTATTTTATATCTCTTGAATTCTCATGTTAAGGTACAGTAGATAAAAATGCTACACATTTGCCAATGTGAAACAGAAGCAGCTAAACCAGAATTAGTGTACAAAGGTAGAATGTTGCACAGGTTGATGGAGAGAAGTGGGTCCCTAATAACAACTTTGGGTAATCTTCTCCCAAAAGAATAGCTTACAGTTCTTCTGCATGTTTAGCACTTCCCCTTTCATACAAAAATGTGATCATTTAATTTGTTTGATGCTAGTCCAAAGAGGTGCAAGCTGTGAGGCACTATGCAAACCCCAGCCACGTTACTCTTTGTGCTTTGGAAAGTTCATGTTTGATATGAGTAAAGGAAAAATATCAGACTTGTGCATATTGTGAGTTATTTTTGCATGTTAACTGTGAACTAGTGGCCAAATCCTTTGGTTCTGCTCTCACAACATGCAGTCAGGCCATGCTGTGGTATGTTTCCTTCTTTATATGGCTAACAGCCCTTCCCTGCTCTGCTGTCTGATACTATCAGCCCAGGTGGGAGGGTGTGCCTGTGCTGGTAGGTGCTGTTTTGTAAGTCCAGGCAAGCTGCTTCATATATTTACTGGGCCCATACCCCTGGCATTTATGATTCAGTGCACAGCTTTCCTTCACAAAGCCCTAATTCTGGATGTGAGAGATACATAACTAGTTTTAAAACACAAACATAGAAATAAATAATTAATCCTGAAATACGTTCGATTGCCCAGTTGTTTCAACACAAAAAATAAGACTCCTAGAACCTGATGTTCCTAGCTGGCTCATCAAATTGACAACCTTCAATTAATGGTTACAGACTTTCAGTATAACTGAAACCATGTGATTAAAAAGCAAATGGCTCAAAGGGGAAATGGAAGTTGCATGAGGCAGAAGGGTTTTCCCCATCAGTGGGGAACACTGAATCCACATGGCCAGCCAGAAGGCAGATGCAAAATAAATCTATTTTCTTGTTTTGTACTCAACTGCCACTTCATTTTTGTGAAGAAATGAAAAATCGTTTTTACATTGGTTGGCTCTATATGATGACAAACTATAAAGCTATAAAGCTAGATTTGGAATTTAACTGTAGGTGGTAGCAAAAGTAGTTTCTTCTCTCAGATATTTTTGTTATCATTTGAACTTCACAACTGATTATAGGGTTCTGGCTAAAATTCCTGCTAGTCCAAATTAGCTGTGATAATGTGAAGTGCTGTGTATTTCTTGCATCAGATTTGAGATAGACTGGGAAATATGTTCTTTACATTTTAATATACTAAGGTGCTTGCAATGTCCTTCTTCAAGAGAATATTGGCCTTTCTGTCTGTTTCTTTCTTGAGTGTTATATTTCATGCCTTTCCAAAACCAGCTGGGCTATTTTTTTGTTTGTTTTCTAAAAAGGACTCAACAGAAAATACCTTCAATATGCATGGGTTATTGAGTTTAGGAAGTAAGAGTGGGAGTTTTAAAGGTACTTAAGGAGATAGAAGTGGTAATTCTGCTTACATTCTTGAGGGCTTCTGATATGGTTGTGGGCACATAATAACTTAGGCTTTGATGACTGATTTATGTGAGCTGGGAGCTTGCACATGTGTGTACTCGTGTTCCATGTGTGCAAGAATAATGATATTTTCCTGGAGGCATAAGTTATTTTGCTGTAAACCAATATAAACCTCTACACATGGGCAGCCATTTGATCCACACCACAGGAAGTTGTGCCCATATTTTCTTGCTTAAGTACTGTCACATGAAACTCAACAGGTATCAGCCCATAATACCAATGTAGAGACACTCAGAAAATTGTTCTTATATTGAAAGGTTAAAAAAAAACCCCAAAAATCAAACTACCTTAGACAAGAGGTACACACTAACAAGTCCCTTTTTTGAAATAAGGCTGTTGATAATTCTGATAGTGCTCTACCTATGCAGCACTAAATATTTTTTAAGTATTTCATGAATACCTGGGCTATTCCTTTAAATTTTCAGAGTTTGTGTTATTAAAATACTAGACATAAGAAAAAATTGTTTATATTGGAATTCAGACTTATTACTGATATATAATCTTTGTTTAATTTGCATAAAATAATGTCTTTGTGTTATTTTAACTCATATGCTGTTATTTTGTAAAGCGAGTGATAGACAGTCAAGCAGAGAAACTCAAAGAACTGGACAAAGAAATCCGTCCCTTCCGACAGAACTGGGAGGAGGCTGACAGCATGAAGAGCAGCGTGGAATCCCTCCAGAACAGAGTGACTGAGCTGGAAAGTGTTGATAAAACTGCAGGGCAAGGAGCTCGGAATACAAGTGAGTGTGGGCACAACGGGCTGAGGGGCTGTTGAAAGGAAAACGGTGTCCCTCGAGTGGCACTCCCATTGTGACTTTTATATGGAAACATCAATAATGATGATTCTTCCGATATTTTAGTAGGAGATTGTGTATTTCGTTTGTTAATGGTGTGGTATTGCTTCCATGCTTTTCTTAGGCTTGATTATTGTCTTCCGTTTTGTTTTATTGACTCTTGTCTTGACTGCATTGTTAGCTCATTATGAACAGTTTCTCAGTTGATCTTTGATAGCTAATAGCTTTCAGCAACTTCTTTAAATACCATCTTGGTATATTGGCATTTTTTACTACTCTTCTCCCTTGTGAATGGATCCATACCTTGTGTTTTGTTATCCACATGAAACCACCCATCCTGATTCTGTTAGACAGGTGTATTTGATAGTAAGGAGACTGAGATCTGCTTAAGAATAAGGTTATTGTTATTATCTTAAGATCTACTTAAGAATAAGGTTATTGCTTAAGAATAAGCTTCTGAATAAAAACTGGAATTCAGCAGATCAGTGTAGCGAGCACATGCAGGCATTTAAATGATTGTAACAAAGGACATTTAAATAGACCGATATAAGATAAACCTGCTTTATTAATTCATCTGCTTCTCAGTATTGTGTGTTGGCCAATTTTGCCAACAAAACAAAAGAGTAACATGAGAGGGAAAGGGGACACAGAAGACTTAGCTCTTACGCTAAACTAAATAAATGAGCATATAATACAGATCTAAGCTTGGATTTTTTGGGTTTTTTTATTAAGAACTTTAGACATTGCAACAGCACTGTGCTTCTGAGACAAATAATGTCTAAAAAGAATGTTTTGAGTGATCAGGAATGCTTCTGAATTTCAGAAGGATTACACAGGATGTGTAACTGCTTCCAAGGTCTTACCTGCTAAATAGCAATCTGCAGATAATGCTACCAAGTCTCCTTTCAAAAAATGGAAGCCTCTAGTTATACTGTTTAGTGACCAGGAAAAATCTGTTAGCTTATTTGAATATTTGACTTTTACTGCATGTACGATTAACGCCCACGTTTGTAAAAATCCCAACTAATCTAGATACCAGCCAGCAAATTAGAGCCTGTAGGAATTGCTTCATCAGTGGCCAAATGCACTTTGGTTCTCGAGGAGGAAATTGTTTTCATACACAGTAGCAACACTGGTGGTTGATTTTTACAGTCTTTAGTAAACAGCAGGTTTCTCACCCCCATCCTTTCTGTTTCTGCCAGGCCTGCTGGAGACCCAGCTGAGCAGGCACGATCAGATGCTGAGCGTTCACGACATCCGCCTGGCTGACATGGACCTCCGCTTCCAGGTCCTAGAAACTGCAAGTTACAACGGAGTGCTGATTTGGAAAATCCGAGACTATAAACGTCGGAAGCAAGAAGCAGTCATGGGGAAGACTCTGTCCCTGTACAGCCAACCCTTTTATACTGGATACTTTGGCTACAAGATGTGTGCCAGAGTTTACCTGAACGGAGATGGCATGGGAAAGGGGACGCACTTGTCTCTGTTTTTTGTCATAATGCGTGGAGAATACGATGCTCTGCTTCCTTGGCCCTTCAAACAGAAAGTGACTCTCATGCTCATGGATCAGGGACCGTCTCGACGCCACTTGGGAGATGCTTTCAAGCCAGATCCGAACAGCAGCAGTTTCAAGAAGCCAACTGGAGAAATGAACATTGCATCTGGCTGCCCAGTCTTTGTGGCTCAAACTGTTCTAGAGAATGGAACGTATATTAAAGATGATACTATTTTTATTAAAGTCATAGTGGATACATCGGATCTACCAGACCCCTGACATACACTGGGGGAGGCGGATTAAACAGAAGGCAACTCCGTTTGGGGGTTTTATATCAGTTTGTCTTCAATCAGAGGTCCTAAAGCTCACAGAACCACCTTGTGGAACAGATGGAAGAGTTTGAAGGCATAACTGCATAGGGTCCAATTGCGAAAGTAGCAACACATTAAGAAATCATACCATGGTATATTTTTTAATAGAACTAGCAACACTTGAGCTCTGACAAATCACTTACCCCTCGTCAGGCTAGTGATTATGGTCAGAGAGGATTTTTTTTTAACTTATTAATGATCTAGTCAATTGGAGGTGAAAAGACATATACAGTATCTGCTGAATCAATTACTGACTTTTATTTCTTTTAAGCTAGAATACAAGAAAAACCCTTCACATGTGGGCTAGCTGGAAATTGTCAGCATGTTAAAAGAAGATGAAGTAATGTTGCAATTATGATATTCTTTGAAAAACTGAGGTGCAATCTTGTCTGAAATATAGTATATTGTCTTTTTAAGGCCTCATCTGGTCTCTGTTTTAATAATTACTTTGTCAGAAGATCTTGGAAAAGTATCCATGTCTTCTCAAAAGTATCTGAATCAAAATCATATTTTTATTTAAAGTTCTATTGTTACAGAAAACATTTTATTTTAAAACTGTTGATAGACTGATATTTCTTGGAAGAAAAAATAGAAGATATCAAACACTGGTTATCACTTGTGATAGGAAAAAAAAACTATTCAATTCTGTTATTTCTCTTTAGAAATGTAAACCTACAATATATGTCGTAGTTAATGACACTATTTCAAAATTAAGGAAAAATCACTCATGGATGCTGTGCATCATTATCAGATTTATAATTGTTTTCACCCTAAAATAGGGCATTTGTTGAACTTTGGAGTTCTAAACGGAATCCTGTACATTTTTTAAAGTTCTGCCCCATGCTTTCCAATCAAGCTATATATGTTGCACATTATGCTGTCAGCAGTATATAGTGTTTTCAGTATTGGGGAGGAGGATTAGTGCTGAAAAAAGCCTCTATGTTTGTTCTGTACTAGCAGCCATTGCTTCAAGACAAACCAGCAATGTCTTAATACAGTGATGGTGGCTTGCATGCATACATGTGCCTTAGATGTGCTGTGCTGCTTATAAACCATAGCTTTTTATTCAGATTAATTCTGATATCTGAAATGGTAGTTTAATTGGACTTCAGGCATAATGTTTAGCCTTGTCTTCAGAGCCCTTAGGTACCTTGCAATGTATGAAACAGAAACCAAAGCCCACTCCTTTGGCTTCTGCAGCTTCTATGACTTGGCCATGGTGGAATCCATCCTATTGAGGTGCCAAAACATTATGCTCAGTGCTCCTATGGAGCTTGGACTAGACAGTCTCCATGGCCACTGTGAAGGCAGGTGACATTTTTCCTCTAATGCCTGTGGCTGTAAGGTGGCATCACTTGAAACTAATCCATCTGAGAGCTCTGGGGCTGTGAATATGGATGCTCGTGGCAGCTTCTCATAGCAGACAAGCATCCTAATGGGGAATGCATGGGCTTCTTTCTTGTAACAGCCTCAACTGTAGTGAAAAGCATTTGCTAGCCCTGAAACATGCTGACTGCAACCTGCTGTGTTCATCTGCTTCTATTTAATAGCCTGTGACAAGCAAATCCAGAGACACAGCCTGACTGTGGTGCTCTTTAAACTCCTGCTTAAGCAGAGCGGGCTTGCACCACTGTGTTTTCAGCCTTTGTGGGCTTGAAAAAACCCTGTTGCATCTCAGCCTTTTATGTCAGGCTGTATCAGTTTTCTGCTTTTTTGAGGCATAGTCACAATTTTTGTCTAAGGTGCAGTTGAATTCATGCCTTTGTATTTCAGCTTGTCTTTGCCGTTGTCTTTTTTGGCTGTGCCTTCACACACAGTGCCTGCAAGAAGTATTTATGGATGTACAATGCATGCTAAGTGGTCTTCATGGGTTTTCCAGGCACCTGCTAGAATACTGCCTGCTGCTGACTGTCCTGACCGTCAGCAGCAACTTGTCTTCCTTTTCTTGCCTTCCATTGTCTGGGTACTGTACTCCCTCTATGGTACGTGGCTGTCAACAGGTGTAAGCTCAAATATGGAGGCACGTGCTAGCATTTAATTTCTAGCACGGAAGGAGGATGTTCTGCACAAGAGATAAATATCTATAGATATACCTGCATCTATATCTCTAGATATCATTGTATGGCACTTGCAGTTTTATGCAGGCTGCATAAGTAAACCCATCACTTATGCTTTAGGGCGAAGGTTCGCTCAACTTGTGTCATTTTAATAATTATGAATGTAGGCAGCTAAGCTTTTGTGTTTGTGCATCACAGAATTTTACTGAAAACAGGATTCCCAAGTGGAAATGTCCAAAGGACTCTCCTCCCATTGCTAATGCATGTCTTGTAAAATTAAATGAAACCGTTTGGCCATCTCAAAACAGTTTATATCCTGTTTCAATCTGGGACTTGGAGGAGATTTTGAGTATAAGCAGGGCCCGGCATATTCTGCAGATTTGTGACTACAGTTTCCAACTTCTGTGACAGAATTGCGCTTCTAAATCCAAGCTTTTTAAAAGAGGAGGAAAAAAACCATTTCCAGCCTTGGTGATTGAAAGAGGACTTTGAAACATGTGAATGTGTAAACCAATAGGGAAGTCTTCCTGAGTCTGCACACAGCCTAAACTAGTAGCTTTAAGAGATCTGAATATCTCGTCTTGGTGGGATATTGACTCAGAAACTTCACAGAGAAGTTTAAATATGAACACTGCTAACTCTCTAAATGCCGATCACTGTAGCAGAAACATCAGTCACTGTTGTATTTCACAGATCTCTATGCTGCTTTCCACATCTCCCAAGTGCCAAAAGCACCAGCTGCCAGAATCTTCAGCTTCACTTGGGCAGCTTTTATAATGCAGTAATGTGCTATCGATATAAAAATATTTTTGCATATGTGCTTTTTATCACAGTTAATAAAACGGAGGCCTACTGCACTTATTTTTTAAAACTACATGAAGCTGCCAGAGAATTTCCAGTTTGCCAACCCTGCGTACTGTGAAATCCAGGATCTTGCTACACAAATGTAGACACCGCCTGCTGTGGAATACCTGAAGCCTTGACTGTAACATCCCTTTCTCCGCAGAACTCACAGGCCATCTCTGTAGAGTTCTTACTGTGTACATAGAAATCGGTTTCCTCTGCTTTCCAGCAAGGAGTATGTAGCATTTTGTGAAAACAAGGCCACTGTATATTCTCTAAGTTGAAAGGAAAAGATACCTGGTGCTTTACTCAACACTTTTAAGTTATTTAACTGTTTCTCTCATCGCTGAAATGCCCTTTATCCTTTTTCTCTTTGTTCCTGACTGAGATATCCAAAGTTTTCTAGGGACTGTCTGTTTAAAGTGATTCGTGGGACAACACCCTGCCCCCATGTAATATATACTCTTGAATCCTGGCAAACTCCTGGGGGTGCCACTGTTGCAAGGGGGTCCCAGAGTATTTGCATTACTTTGAACAGAGTTTATTCAGTGAAACCACATTGTCCTCTACTTAGTAGTAATTCTTAGCAGCACACAGCTGAAGTCTCTTGCTGGTGTTCTTTCTTCACGGTGACGCTCCAAGTTGTGTACAAACCTCTTCTGTTTCCAGCTTCCTCTAGGGAGATTCCAGTGTGTGACAATCTGGATGTTGCCCTTTGTGTACACTCTTCAGCACAGAGTGAGTGCACCTGTTACCTAGAATGTCTTGAATCCTAGACAGGAAACTATTTGGGTGTTTAAAGACCAACCTACAATTATGATGCATGACCATGTCTGCATTGCTTCTCTAAACTAATTAATTGGGGTCTTGTTTCAGTTACTGTCTACATGGTACACCTTCAACTGCTGACTTACAATATGCAATGTTGATTTCAGCCTTGTACTGTAAATGTTGTTCTTCACAAAGAGAATGTGCAATAGGAAAAGGGAATGGTGGGTGGCATACTTTCGATGGAAAAAACACGCTAGATTTTTAAAAACATGCGGAAAAAAAAAGAAATGCAGTTTATTTCCTTTTCTGGTGGTGTTTTCTACTTGGAAAAGGAAAGATGAAAATATGTGCCTGTTTCTGTGCCTGGTGAATTTCTCAAATGCAAAGGTAATAGAGATTTGTGTTAGCTGGGATTTACGTGTTGAGCCCATGAATGTTAGGCTGTGTTGTATCGCTTCTGTTTCCTCAGCTTACCATGATTATGGTTTGCTGAGCTGGAGTTTAAAAGCTACCACCTATTTGTAGTTGTATTCCATCTCGTGGGATAGGCATTTCACCAACAGTGCAGGGTATCTGTTGATATTTTGTTCAGTTTTTAAAACACTGGTGCTCTTTGGTCCAAGACAGAGAAGTGTGTAGGGAGTGACAAGGAAAGTTGCCTGCACTGCAGAAGGGTGAGAAACATGACTGCAGTATTGATGCCTTTGATATGATTTAACTATGCAAATATACAGATAGGTGAGGGGGGAAATTCTTGGGTTGGGTAATTCTAATCTATTAGATTTTGCTCTGTAAATTACTTGTATGTGTGTAGATACATACATGTACACACAGACATGCATGCACATAAATATGCAAAGTCTTTTCTTTATGTAGAAGTGATGAAACAAAACCCTTTCCTCCAAGTTATACTTGATCAATTGGTGCAAATATAATTTGTTGCTGCTAAAGGAGGATCTTGGCTAAGGGCAAACTTTGATTCCTATCTTTCAGGTTTGAAGACCTGTATGTAGCAAACACTTTGTCTAGCTTTTCTGAAGACTCTGAATTGTAATTTAGGACACACGTTCTTCCTCATGCTCTGAAAATTTGGAGATTCCTTTATTTTAAACAACTATAGTGATGGGCAACTTTTTGATGGCAAATTATTTCCTCTAATTTAGAACAAAAAATGATAAAAAGCATCTGGACTTCTTCCCTGGAATTCCTGTCCTGTTGAGTCAATACCTTGATATTCTGGTTGACCTAGAAGTCAAAACTACTGCAATAAAAATGATTGGTTTGGCAGTTTAATCTGGGTTTCTAATACTGTGTACAGTATATAGCAAGTGCTATTTATCTTTTTTGGAACAAGGAAATCAAGGATGAGATGTGAAGTGATTTGTCCAGAGTCACAAAAGGAATCTCGTGGAGCTGGGACTGATAGAGAGGTTCCGGTTCCCTCGTGTTATCTCTGAATCACGAAGTTTTACTCTTAATACATTTGTCCCTTAAAGGAACTGGAAAATAAGTTGACATACTCTGTGAAGACCCACATCAGGACAGTAAGGGCTAGAATTAAACATACAAGCTGTCGTGATTTGGGGTTGTACACGCGTGGTGGCTCAGATGTGTGGAGTGAAGGCCAGCACAGCATGTCAGTGTCAGTAACAGCAGCAAACCTGTGTCCTGCTCTGTCTGTTCAGAATCGTCCAAAACCAGTCTTGTTTGATGCTCCTCTTAACTAAGGAGGAAGAATACCATTGTACAGTGAAGTGGGTTCATCTTTGTTCTACCAGTCAGTGTGACTGACCATTTCTTTCTTGTGGAGCTTTCTCCCTTTTTCTGTAAACCAAAATCTGGAGGGCTTGATTGTTCTTTCTTGGCTCTTAATCCAGGCCTTTGGCAGAGAAGCACCAGATAGGAATGCTGTGGAAAACTTTGGACTGCTGATTCAGGGGACATCCTCTTAAGATACAGAAGAGTAAAGTTATACAATTTATAAGGGATCTGACTATTCCTGTTTCTCTTCTAATATATGGTCAAGACTGCAGCTTCTGTCTTCCATTTCATGATGTCAGCGTAGATACTAGGCTGTGTTTTTTTCATTATTTCCCCTCCAAGTTAGGATTAGTTCCTTAGGGTTCAAATAAGTTCTGAATTTCACAGAGAAGCACCTGAACCAAAACCCTGGATTCAAACATCCCAGACTTGATGTGGAATTCAAATCTGGATCCCGACTCTGTGGCTTACTAACCTACCCATTCAGGGAAGGGTTTGTTGTCTCTATGTGGTGTTTGTGTTTTTGGTCCTTTGGAACTAAGCTTTTAATTTGGTTGCCAGTTCTGCAAGGACTTTTTAACTTCTTAGCAATGCCGGTGTTCACACGCTCCATTGCTGGCAGTGTGATGCGTAGTGATAAAATTTGACTCTGTCTAAGGGTTACTGAGATAAACCAGCATTATCATTCGTAAAGGTCATTTTCTTGCATAGTGTTCCGAGCTTTGTATTTGAATATAGCTCGCACCTGAAAGGACACATCTTCCAACTATGACCTGCATCACTGGCAGAGAGTTGTGTAATCTGTACTTGTGGAATGGGAAGGTACAAGCTTCCATCGTTGCTGAAGCATCGTGTAATCCACCTTTTTTGTTTTCTTGTAGCTGTTGTTCAATTAATACTTTTTTTTTTCAGTTTTATAGAGAAAAAAAGGGGAAGTTCAGGATTTTTTCTACAAGGTATAAAACTCCAATGAATTAGTGGTGACTAGAGAGCTGTGAAAAATACCCCATTAGGAGATGATGGGCTAAATGTAGGTCCATTTCTCTTAGACAAGTAGGATAACCTTTAAGATGCATGGAACAACATATTAATCGGGAAAACTAAAGCTGACATTTGTTTCCAAGAAATTCTGTGAGAACTATCTATGGAAAAGATATCAGTGATTGAGAATAATGTACAAATTAATGTGTTTGAAACTTGTGTATCCATTTCTTTAATCTCATACTCTTCAGTAAACGGTACACTTGTGTTCAGTTTTATGATCAAAAACAAAGACCAAAGAAGGCCAGCCTCATTTGATTGTGTATATTCTGCCTGTCTTAATTATCAATAGCTGTAAGGATACAGTGCAAGTGATCTGGTAACCAGTGGATCTTGTCCTTTTCTTTTAGGGGGAAAAACAATTTTAAAATGTATAATTTATTGCTCAGCAATAACCATGTTGTTAAAATAATAATAAAAAAGGAATTAGCAACATGTCTTAATTTCCCAATAGCATTATTATATGTTGTATTTCAGTTTACTGTATATTGTGTTTTTGTATTTATTTGTGTTTGGAGGTCTTGCTATGTCTTTTTGTGTTTAAATGCTAATAAACAAGGACAGTGTGTAAGAGTGTAGAATGCTGAACTCTGAAATGCTAAACTGTGTTATTAAAGGAAAAATAAATAAGTAGGAAATCATATTTTTTAAAAAAACCCGGTGTGTTGAATTTGAATGACTGCTGTTGACTTGCAGATGGCCAGGGTGCATCCTTGCTCCTCTGTGAGCCCATTGCATGGCTGTTCTGTGCTTTGTGTTCACACACCCAGTAGAGCTTTACTGTGGCATTTCCCATCCTCTGCACAGGTAACTTCCAATAACTTCTGTCAGAGTCCTATTTTCCATGTGCTAACTCTGCTGGAATGAACCAGGCGATGGTGTTCATCCTGACATCAGAGTTGAGAGCCCTTGTACAAACAGAGTAGAAATAAATGGAATGGCTTTTCATGCATTTGTGGTACACTGCTTTCCCAAAGAGGTGTGGGAGAGTTGAAGCATAGCTTAAATGTCTAAAGATGTAGATTTCTTATTTTTTCTTTTGTGTCATTAGTGACTCTTCTCAGCTGAGAACCGCATGCCAGGTGTGTGCTCGAAGTCACAGAACATGATGCAGTCTGTAAAACACCGGGCAGTTCTGGAATGTGTGGAGCAACAGTAGTTCCACCACGTTTCAGATTCAACCTGGGGATGAAAACCCTGATCCCCTGGGGTTTTGTATGAAGCATGCAACTTCTACTGAGCACCACACTGTTGTTTCTTCCCTGTCGTCCCTCCCACCCCTCTCTCACTGAAATTGCAGTTTCCCTTCCTTCACATCGCTGCAGGGGCAGTACTGGGTTTAGCAATGTGGGAATGTCCTGCCTGTACTCAGACACAAGACCGCAGTGTCTTGGCAAAAGCCAAGTGCTGGGCAGCCGAGTGCCTTCTCTTGATAAAATGGGAATGCCAGAGAAATGGCAAATGCAGGCAGGTGAAAGGGGAGGGTGGCTGAGAAGTGCCATCCTCACCTTGTGCCCGATGTGCTGAGGTGGATGTTCCTTTGCTGCTGAGAGCAGCCACTGAGTGTGACTCCGGGTGCTCCAGCCTCTCTGTCCTGCTCATCAGCCTTTCCACTTGCACTCCCAGCCTTGGCACCTGAGGCTGCAATGCCCAAAGCTCTTCGTGTCTCTGCTGTGGAGCGTGAAGGGGTGGTGGGTTCCCTTGTCTTAATGAAGTGAGTTACTTTCCAGTAGAGTCCTTTGCAGAGGAGTCTCCTCCTCCCAAATTGATGCTGCTCAGATGTGACACTTCCATCATTACAGAGCAGCAGGATAAGCAGAGAGGAAACAAATTGCTTTAAACATGAAGGCAAACACTAATTCTATCCTCACCTCCCTGCTCCTCCGCCCCCAGTAAGGAATCGTAATTGAAATGACACGTGGTGCCCTTCCTGGCTCCAGTGAGGCTTTATGAAAGGTTTCTCCTTCATGCCAGGTCCCAGAAGGTGACTGTCAGCTTCGTGGGGTGCTTTCCCCCAGTGGGCCATCGGGTACTTAAGGTGACAGGAGCAGAGTGCCAGCCCTGGGAGCACCAAGCAGCCAGGGAGAGCAGGGTGAGGAGCTCCTGGGCTACAGAGGGTGCTGGATGACAGGAACACTGCCAGAGCCTGGACCTGCTGCTGGGGCCATCCTTTGGAAGAACTGCAGGACTATTTTTTAAAGCTCTTGGGAAGATTTCCAGAGTTTCAAACCTTGGGTTTGCTTGCTGTCCGGTAAGAAGTTAGAGGTTTTCAAAATGTTCAGTCCTGTGTATCCTGCTCCCTGTTTGCTTTGATGTGACCAAGTCCGGAATTGTCTAAGGAATAGGGAAATAGCCAGTGATCAAAACAAGTGGTGAAATAGGTGATTTCCCCCAACCTTCCCCAAAGCCAGTTATTTCGTGAGTCAGTTGTGTGGTTCCTTCCTGCACGCCTGGATTGAGCCCTGGAGGCTGTTCCTGTCAAGTAATGTGTCTGGCTTGTTGTTTGGCCAAAATAGGTGAAAACCCAAGTATCTTCCCTACCCCCCTTGACAAATGTGACACCTGGGGAAGCTGAGCCCACTCAGATCTCTCGCTCCTGCAAGTGGGTCTTTGGCAGTGAACACTGGACCTCAGCGCATGCTCTGGTGTGTTCCGTAGGCTCAGAAGAATGGGGATGGCCCAAGCCAGGGACTGAATTCCCACTGCCTGGGCTGGCAAACACAGAAGAGACCTCAGGTCTCAACTGACTTCTACCCTGCAGGCTGCACCTTGGGTTAAGCAATGTTTGGGCGCAGCTGGTTTGGTTGCAGCTGTGTTTTGGCAGCACAGCTGCATGAGCGGAGGTGGGAGCTCCAGACACTGCTGTGGACACTCGATGGCTGCTCTGTGCCAATGCAGAAGCTTTGCAGAGATTACTTGGATTTCTACCCAGTATTTCTGCCTGGCAGGTAGAAGTGGCATCTGCCTCGGTATATTCTGTGCCATCAGCCTGCAGGAACATGGGTGAGGTGTGAGCCTGTCCCCAGCTGTGGCCCCTTTAGCAGGTGTCCCTGGGGTAGGTAGTGATGGCTGGTGAAAGACGCACAGTTTTCCCAGGATAAAAAGAAATCCTAGCCATGCACGTGGTTGGATGGAGTGGGCTGGTTCCAGTGTGCAGCTTGGCCTGGGCTCAGGGCTGAGAAGTAAACCTGGTGGCTCACGCCCCTAAATGCACACAGATCTCACTCCATAGCTGCTCCTTCCACACACCCCTAACAGGAAGCTGCTGCTCCCCTGCTTCATACTACAAGATAAGAAGTGTGTTGGGGTGTGGCTTCCAGGTAGCTCTGAGATCAATTGTGATCCTCTCCAGTGACTTCTCCTGCCTTGCTGCCCTGAGGGTAAGGTGACTGTGTGGCTGCTGGAGGCCTGTAAGCACCTCTTGCTGAATTGGCATGAAGCTCCAAAGAGGGGTTTAACTCCACAGACTGGCTGTACATTCAGCTTCAGCTCCTGACCAGCGTTGAAATGAGGCCGTGCCTGTCCCAGCAGCACACACAGCTCCTCTGCCATCAGAGACTGGTTCTCGCAGTATAAATGGTGCTGTTGCACTCAAGACTATCTTTTTCTTAAATTAAAGGAAATCTCTTATGGGGATTTTCTCTGGTTGATGCTAGGGGCTGCCTGCTTTAAGGGCAGCCATGAGACAGAAAACAGCTAGAGGGGCTGTCACCTCCAGGCCATTTCTCCTCATTTATTTAAGCTTAGCTTCATGTTTAAACCTTCAGCAATGCTGCACTGTGCCAAGGAGACTGGCAAACATTCTGTGCCAGGGTACAGCCCAGCTCCCACAGGGGGTGGCTTCAGCACTTGGGGTTTGGGAGCCAGTTTTTGGCACACCTCTGTCTTCTCCCCTCTCTCTGTTTGAAGCCATGGCATGTAACACAATTATCACAGAGTAATTTTGCCATGCACTTAATGACTTTCTGGGGACGGTGCCATTACTGCTTGGCTGTTTGGAAGGCTGCAGGAAGTGTGTGCTTGTGGGGGGCAATCATCCACCTTGGGGCCTGGTGCCCACACCATCACTGCTTTGTGCTCAGCCCTGAGCTCCCTTTCCAGATGCAAAGTGCTGTGTCTGAGCGCTCATGCTGGGGAAAGTCCCTTGTGTTGCAGGATATTTCCTTTTAAGCAGTGAGGAGAGATGCAGTTGTACAACAGGGAAATTCTGAGAGGTCCTGGATGTCCCTGAAGGGATTTAGGAGGTGGCTTTCCTGGCTGGTTAAGGGGAACTGTGTTTTTGGCTGTGATGCCCGTTTATAACTCAGTACTGGGAAGGTCAAGCATCCATTAAGTGCTTGTTTCCCCTCTGTAGTGGTGATGATCTTGTCCCCCCAGGGGCATCGTGGGCAGCCAGCACAGGGGAACAGAAGGATGGGCAGGCAGCAAGGAATAAACTGTGCTGATCTCTGCACTGGGGCAGCTTTAATTTCTGGGGACTGATTTCTCCTTCCTTTCAACTTTGTTTCACTCTCCCTGTAACCACCTGACCCAAACCTTGCTCCTGTACAGCCTTCCATTGTGCCCGTCTCATCCTGAGGCACAGCAGCATCTTGAGGCAATAGCAACAATAAAAGCTAGGGTGGAGAGGAGTGTGCTCCAGCCAGGGGGAGAGACCTGCAGTGAGGGTGGGTTATTCTGACTGGGTTATTCAGCGATGCTGGAGTGAGCACCTGGCCCCAGTAATAACTTTTGCTAGAATTTCTGTCATTCCTCTACCCTGCCCTGTCCTACCCTAATGCTGGAGCAGGGACTGTCCATCCTTGAGCAGGGTTTCACAGGCAGATTGGGGATTTTTGACCTCTGCCTGCTTGCCAGATGAGTTCCAGCTCATTTAAAATCAAGTATCAGCTTTGGTGGCACAAGCAGCAGCTGCAGAGTACAGAAAGCAAAACTAAGGGCGTGGAGCACATCTCAGACACTGGGTTTCAGGGGTTGTGGCACTGCTCTCTGCACAGGGTCCTATGAGCAGTTGCTCCCATCCTGGCTGTGCTGCAGGATACTGAGGCCACAGACAAGCGTGCACTGGCCCTCTGCACACTGCAGTCCTTTCTCCAAGCTCGTATTGCCAAGTATCCATGAGTTATCATTTTCCCCCCTCAATATTAAAATACAGGACATCTCACTGCAGCCAGCATTCACCCTGCAAGTCCCCTAGGAAAGATTTGTGAGTGGTAATTAGAGTGCAGGAACCTTTCACCTCGAGGACATCTCTCAGCATTGAGCTCCCTGGGTAGAAAGTGCTGACTGTGTTTTGGCTGATGCCCAAGCTTAGAGCTGCAGCTCTAAGGAGCTTTCTCTCCTGGCACCTCAGTCTGTCTGCCAAGTTGGAAGCTAGGAAGCAGTGGGAGTATGAATGCTGGGATGGGGATGGTTTGCTTCCCACTCCTGCACTCCTAAATCCTTGCTGATGTCAGGTAAGCTTCTTGTGGTCTGTGTCCTGTCGACTGGATGACCCTTGCAAGAACTCCTCCAGTCTCTTCCTGGCCTCTAGTAAACCCCTGCATTCACCAATCTTCTGTCCTTGCCCTGCTGGTACCAGGGTCAGCTGAAGGGCAGCTGAGCTTCATGGCTCTCTCCTTGGCATCACCCTCTGACACCATCCATGCTCTCCCCC